GTCACGCACGTGCGCCGAGTGCCGAGAATCTGTATTCCGAAAAAATAAATAGATCCAGAGAGTTCATCTCCGTTCCGAATGTTTAATCAAGGAAGTTAACGTATCGTAGTTGGCGGATAGGATAACAACGAGTAGCGTTTCGTTTGTAAATAATGCTCTTCTAATAGCATTTGTCTATAACTCGGCGCTGCTTAAAATAAACGCGAGCCGAATCTTCTCTTATTTCACGTAAAAATACGCATAAACGCGTAATGTGTAATAATTCGTCTGATTACATGGAACGTCACATTTATAAATAATTTCAACGTAATTCTGTCTAATCGTTAGGAAATGGTTTACTCGAGCCAAAAGTTCACGAACTCCAATCGATTTCTTTTTTTCGAGTAAAATAAATTTTCTTAGAAACATAAATGAAGTCTCGTATATATGTATGATGCAAGATCTTATTTTACGACTGAATTTGTATCAAGTTGTATCAATTTTGCCAATTAGTTCCATTTTATTAATATGTATAGAAAAAAATAATATTGTAACATTGGCTAGAATAGCAGTTTTTGATTGAAAATAATTTTCTTTATTCAATAAGTATTTTATAAAACATTAGAAATATTAAGCGATCATTATTGACCATTTTTATTTTTTAGATTAATATGATCTATATTTTTGTGCAAAAAACAAGTCTGAAAATTATTTACTTTTATATTTTTTACACTAACAAAACATTTGATTTTTAATTAAATATTTTTTAATTAAATAATTTTATTTTTGTAGTAAATTTATTAGCTTGATCCTTGATTCAGTCAGTAAGAAGTTAGTGTTAATAAAATAAACGACATTTTATTAAAACAAGGGTACGATAAATTTATTTCGTTAATACTGTTATTAAATTAACAGAATTATTTTTTTTTTTCGTAAATTTGATTTTCAGACTGGTCACATGAAGACGTCAATGGGTAACTACTTCATTAAACCTACCGAGCATTGGCGCGAGGACGACAAGGATTCTCTTGGGTCTTCGTTAAAACACGCGATCTATCGTGTACCTACTGCGATCAATTTAAATGATGACTCCAATTACGATGCTCCCGAAAATGATGTTAAAAGTCGCAACTGCGGCTTAATAGGTAAATGAGAAGTTTCACTTATTTCGATTTACAATATCACGATGCGTTATCCGTTTGGTATGTGGGGTGGTTCGTTAGTGACACAGTCGGGAAAAGCGGGTCATTCTGTCCGAAGAAGCAAGTCGAAGGAATGCAGAAGAAAATGAAACCAAGTCAAATTTGTTTCAACAGTGGCTATCAAAATGTACAAACAATCATAAATGTTTTATCGAACAAAATAGAAATCTTAGTTTTTATTTTATTGTTTTTTTAATAGATTGAGAATTATTTGTATTATATTAATATATTACAATTAATTATAACGTAAGATCGGAAGA